CCATGGCTGGCTGGGGAATTCTGGGAGTTGAAATCCACTCATCTTAAAGTGGCCAAGTTTGGACAACACTGCTTTAGGGTCAATAAATCTTAACAAGGGGCAGGGAGAGTTTGTTACCAAGTAGTTTTTCAGCGAGTGTCGTCAATTGTTCTATGCTGAGTCCCCGTTTGGTGGTTGAGGAGAACTGCCAACTGAGCACCTCAGCAACCTGATCCCAAGTGCCAATGGGTGGCTTTGTGAAAAAGTTCACGTTCTGCAAAGAGAGGAATTGTGCATGAGTTGAAATCAGGAGAAGCAGCCTCTTCCCCGCCCGTTCCTCACTTTCCTCTGTACCGTTACATTTAAAGCACAGCATACCTTGGGGTTGTTTGTCAGCATGTTGTACCACAAGATTGATGCCCATGCATTTGGCATCTGGCAAATGTTGGAGATCACCACTACAGGAAGTGAATGGGTCTATGGGAACAAAATACATGTTACTTGAGCACAAATCTCTATTATTATTATTGTTGTTGTTGTTGTTGTTGTTACTACTACTATTACTATTTGGAGTCTTAGGATCTTATTCTTCACAGCAAATTAATCAGTTTTCTAATTCTCCCATCTCACTAAGCAGGACACTCACAAGACCACTTTGCAGCTCTGCAGTGAAACAAACTGCCATCCTTGGTGTCAATATAAAAAAAAAAGGAGCATGCTAAGAGCAGTTTAATCATTGTTTTTGCTTTAATAGACCATGGCAAATTCTAAGAGTAAAAGAATGTGTTGATCCACTTTGACTTTCTAGACTCCTTTTCATAGATGTCCTCAATCTGAGTTTTCAAGATGAGGGGCCCGTATTTCAGGGAAAGGTTTAGCATAAATTAACCACTGGATCTATATTCATTTAAGCAAGTAGATGCTCCATTCATTTCAGAGGAACAGTTCCCTGCACAAAGGCAATATTCATAACATATAGATACAGTGACCATACATCCTTTATTATAAAGGACAGCCCTTTATTTCAGAAAGCTATCCTTTAGATTTATTTAATTTAATTATTTATTTTCTTGGTTTTGTTCTTGAATTTTCCTTTGTAAAGCAAAGTTATATAAACATAAGCAATGAATTTTTTTTATCCTTATGAACCTCTTTTAGATTTGCCCCCTTTTCAGGTTTGTCCTTTATTTTTCCCAAGAAAATATAGTCACTGTACATCATTAAAGTGAAATTGTTACATGGGTATCACTGTCTCTATCTGTGTCTTCCTATAAACTGTTACCTGAATGTTACCATAATTCAAATGAGGCTTTCTGTTTCCTGTGTTATATTTGATTCTGTTCCTGGCAAAATTCAAATAAGTTATCCAAACTATTACTACAACAGAAAAGCTCCCATTCCAGCCACATAAATAAGCCTTCCCATAAAGGAGTCAAGCTAGAGTTGAGTTAGTGGAACTGGTGATATTTTATTTATTTTATTTATTTATATGTCAAATTTATATCACTGCCCAACTCCTGCACAAGGAGGGACTCTGGGAGGTTCAC